TTTTTTTTGTTTGCATTCTACCGCCTTCACTTAACAACGAAAGGGTGGCGTGGGCTCTTCGAGCGGTCGGCGACAGTCTATTCGAGGCAGTGCGATTACACGAACAAAAAAGTTCGGCTCAATTCACTAAACTACTTGCAGCACAGGAGTTAGAGCTTCTTCAATTTGCGACATTTTACGATTAAAAGAGCGGTTTTTGTGCCTTGCAACACTGCAGTTAATCGGCCGCAATTCGTCCCTTTACTTCGAATTGGAACGATGTTTAGGCTAGAAATTCACTTGCTATTGATGTCCAAGTTTTTTTTGTCGTATCGAAGGTGATGAGGTGTGGGACACCACTGACGACACCCTGAAGTTCAGTTTATAAATACGTCCGCTCATGGCAACTTAGTGGTGTGCTATTTTGCTGTCGCCATTGTGTACTACAATCACAGCGTTGAGTTCACTGGAGTGAGAACTGCTGTGTCTTCGCCTTGTAATTTGACAGGCAACTTTATCGTTCCATCACATGCAGTGCTTTTAACGCATTCTACGTTTAGAATGGATTGATTTGCATTTTTTGCTGGATGTAACGCGATTAATTGCAAGTTGCTCTAATCAGACTGTGCTGCTCACCATTACTTGCTTGGGCTTTGGAGCCCCATCATGGTTTTATCCGAAATCCACGGCTAGATTCGCTTTTATTCCCACATTGAATAGGCCATTAAAATATAAAAGTATTGCAGTCTCCATTTTCTGGCATTTTAGAAACGAAGTTTTAACACCACAAGTGAAGCCGTCAGTGTCTCCACCAAAAGGGTAGGTCGTGTGCTTACCTCCGTTGCTTTTCTTGCTCACTTACACTCAAAGTCAACAGACATTAATCTGGTTAATGAAAATTGCTCTTCTACCCCTCATTGACGAAAGCAGTTGACAGTCTCTTTCGTCCCTTACTGCTAACTTGAGCGTTTTAACACTCAGTGAAAAGACGCCTCCTTTTGGATGTGTGCGTGTATGTGACGTAAGATGGTCAGAATCTTGGCGATGATATGAGGCAGAATTGTAACATTCGAGACAAGATGACGTCGATTCTGCCCACTTCACCCTATGCATTAATCATTTTGATGAATTGTTTGCTTACAGCCAAACCAGAAAACGCCGCAAATCTGCGCCCTCTGGTCGGTGCTATGACTTACAGTTTTTAAACAGGAAACAGCAGTGCAGTGGTTAAAAATTATAATGCAATCATAAACTTCAGACTTTTAGAACTGCCGCAATATTGAACCTCCAAGTGATCGTGACGCCTTTACTTGCTTGAGAACTAAATTTAAGAACACGTGTGTGGCTATTTGGTCATCGTTGGAGATGGACGTAAATTCTGTGAGCTTGGCGGTTGAAGGCGCCGATAAGGTGGTGACACTTTTCATCACCGGCCTCGGGCGAGGGTAGCCTCATTAATCTCTCCCCGCCCTGAAACTGTTAATTAACAATTCTGAGTTAACTGCAATCAAGGATTTTTGAAAATTATTCTCCTTTACTCCCAATTCTACCTTGAGATGTATTGCTTAATTTCTCTTAAGTTCAACACTCTAAGACATTGCCTAGAAATGTGAAATGTTAAATTAGTGGCGTGCAATTAAACTACGTGCCAACATCTCTACTGAAAGACTAACTAACTCCCATTGGAACCCACCATTTTTTTGACAACGGGAAAGTCTGTCACAATGTGAAAAAGAGTCTTTGAACAGCATGATTGTTGACCAATTGAGCTTTACGAGAACTTCGGCAAGGCAGAAGATCTACTTCGGCTTCGTCTGATGGCGGAGCCAAGTGTAGTGAACACGAAAACTACTGGTCAGATTGTGTGTTATTTTAGTGAAACATTACTTAACTAATTCGATAGCTATCATCCCACCTAGCCAAGAGTGGAAGGCATGTCCATGGTGCCCTACGTTCTTCCATCTCGGGTGTTGCATATTCGTGGACTACCTGCAGACACATCGGAAACCGAGATTGTGAAACTGGCGATGCCGTTTGGGCCGATTGCTAACTTCGTCCTCACAAAGAAGACAGGGCAGGTGAGGATCCGTGTGTTTGTATGCGCCTAAAAATAGTCTCATTGCGCTTCAATTGGTGGTTTGAGTGATGATGGCATGAAGGATTGCTACATTGCATCAAAGTAATCCCGAAATCACGTGCTTTAAAGCCTTTTTAAGTCCTCCTGCATGGCCTAGTAAAAATATCAGCAATGGTGTAGTGGATAGTGATTTTTTGAGAAAATTATTTAAGACGTGGATAAATCACAATCATAGCCAAGGAGATGAGATGGTGACCACGTGTCGACCTTTTGATCCATCTCGCATGTCTCTGGCTTCTGATTAACCGCTGACCAAAAATGCGGACTCGATCTCAGAGGACGAGGCTGATTTTTCCATGGACGTGATATAGCACCTAAATTTTTGCAGTACTTTAAAAAAGGGAAATTAGCATTTGTTAAAAGCGTTTTGC